GGGCAGCGTGGGAGAGGGCGGCGCTGGGGGACCAACCTGGCAGCACCCCAGCTTCCCCAAGTCCGCCGCTGGTCAGTTTCAACAGCACTGGACTTGGGGAAGCCTGGGGCCGAGCAGCTGGGGTGCTCTGCCCCCCAGCTTCCCCAAGTCCGCTGCTGCTGAAACTGATCAGCGGCGGACTTGGGGAAGCCGGGGGCAGAGGAGCTCCGATTGTCTGGCTGGCCAGAGCACTTCCGGGTTCCAGTTGGTGCCGGATTATCAGGAGTGCCAGACCACTGGATGCCGAACAACTGGACTTTTACTGTAATATAATTCCAAAGAGATCCCAGACGAATGCAACCTAATCTGGAATAGCTAAAAGGGGAAGAGAAATAGACCCTTGTAGAGTTGAAAGGTCCCTTTCCTAGAGCTCATGCCGTGGCCACACTTTCAGTTTAAAGTGCTGCCATGGCTGCGCTTTAGACTTTTTAAGTGTAGACAAAGCTGTAGGCTGTAACAGCCTTACTCTAGTTTGAGATCATGTGTGCCAATCATGCTGTTCTCTTGCTCTAACCCAGTCCTGTGGGAATACTGCAATTTACTGCGGTTCCAAATTCAACATTTGTAGAATTCCCCTAGGACACACTGACTCTCTGAGCAGGCAGGACGCTGAACTATACAAGAAAATTCCTGTACATATAAACAATCCATCTTCCCATAACACCACAGGACAGGAAGAGTGGCTCAGATGGCATGGTCATGTGCATTAAGTACATTAAAGTACAACACTGACTGGACAAGATCAGAAAAATTAAGACTATGATACTATATATAGTGTTTTAGAATGAGATGAATTTGAGATGAGCTTAATTAAGAAACAGCATAAGAGTCTGGAATTTATAATGGAAAAATCAAGCACACAAAGAGATTTATTTTCTTTAACGAGGCCGTTACATTGCTACATGCCCAGCCCACATCAGGGTAATGAATGGGAATTGCTTACAAGTTTTTGAGATTTTCTGCCACTCCAGTTGCGTACTGTTCATCCGTCTAAAAAATAAAAAAAATTAAACATTATAAGAAGAGATCATTTAGCTTCAGAGAAAATAACCACCAATACTTTAAATGCCTCCTCCAGATTTATTCTCTGCCCAGGGCTATATCTCAGAAGCCATCACTAGTACTCCCCACTCTGTGCTATCAACACTTCCATACTCCCTCCATTCATCTCCAGGCCGTCCTCTGTACAGACCTTGTGCCTGACGTACCCTCCCTATTTTGGTGGAGCAAAACAGAACTCTTCTTCAAATGCCTCCTGTTTGGCCAGTATAAAATCGAACCAAAATGCCAAGTGTCTGGGACCAAGGACCACGGTTGCCTTTAATTTCTCTTCAGTTCCTAGCAGGCTATTGGCATTCAAGTGGCTGAACAGTCCCTGATAGAAAGTTCATCCTTCATCAGCAAAACAGAGGGGTTTCTATTAAAATGCTCGTTTATGTTTTGGGTTAATTTCAGCTACAAACCTGAGTCTCCCACTCGGTTCTGAGATTTGACCTGGTCACTCTTCGCAGCAGAGGGGGAAGAGTTAATCATGCTGCATGACACTAATATAAAATGATATAAATACAAAGACTCGTGCAGGGAGCCTGTGGAAAGAAAATAAGGACCCAGGCCCTCTGTTCCGGAATGGTGGATCAAGAGGAGCCCTAAGATTTTACTGCTCTGAGTGACTCCACTGCTGTTGAAAAAGTGAGCAAAAGTCCCAGGTGAGGATCTGAAGAAGAGGGATGACGACTTTTACCATCACTAGGAGTTTGTGCTCAACAATGCCTTGCTCAGTGGCAGGTGCTGTCAGATTTGGTGCCACAGCGGGAGGAGGAGTGAGATGTCAGGGATTTGAATATTTAACCGATTAACCAGTTAAATCGGTTAAATATTCAACGGGCTGCTCCAGCCTCACCAGGCCCACCCTAGGCAGGGGGCTGCTCCAACCCAGCCAGAGCAGCCCCATCTATGGAGGCTGGAGCAGACCATCCCCACTCACCCATTTAATTGGTTAACCAGTTAAACATAACATTTAACCAGTTAACTAATTAAACAGGATTTTACATCCCGATGTTGGCGACCAAGGCCAGTGTGTTACCCAGAATAATGACAAGTAAAGCTTTTCCTAGAGAGAAAAACCTTCCCAAGAGGTTCTCAGGGGCACAGGGAGAGACCGAGGCCACTTCTTCCTTCCGCAGAAGATCACCGCTGCCACAATCGATCTTCCGGAGTTCAATTTAGCAAGTCTAGTTAAGACTCGCTAAATCGAACTCAGAAGGTGCCCCCGCCAGCATCCAGTACTCCTGCTCGTCAGGAGCAAGGGAAGCTCATGGGACTGTTTGCTCCCATCAGCCTCCCACTGTAGGGACGTAGCTGGAGTTGTGCACCTTAAGCCAAGCTGCCGGGTCTAGTGTACACCTGGCCTCGTTTCTCACTCTGGCAGAGCTGGGAAAACAGCTACACAAAGGATAGAAGACTGCCTGATAATCTGGGAGCAAACACACGACTCCGTAAGAGCTCCCATCTGTCACAATAACCCTCTCAGCACTTGGCATCGGATACCAAACACCACATCTGCCCACCCACACATGTCATCCTGCTTTAATGATGAGGTAGGGGCTAAACAGGCTTCTCCCTGCTATGATAGAACATTGCAAAGCAGCAGTTCCACTCCATGAGGACTCTTCTCATTACAGCTGTGTTTAACTGCTCCAACAGGGATAGCTGTCTCAGTGCCAACGCAGCTAGGGGACTCAGGCCGAATAAGCAGGCTGCTTCGCTTGGTGATCATGGGGAATTGTTTTCGCAACTCGTAGATGGGAAGTTTGCTGCCAGAGCCACATGCTTGACGTCTGAGATACTCTAAATTGTAAAAGGCAGCCGTTAAAACACCTCAGAAGGGAGTTTACAACATCAGTTCTCTTCTCCTCTCCCCTGCCCCTTTTGAGATGACAGTGGCAGCTTGATGTTACCTAGAATGACGGTTCAAATCCCACACCATGTTCTACATCATTTTCTCCCCTAGGCCTGAAGACTCGTGAGCCACAGGCAGCGATGTATGAAGCAACACACTGTCTGGATCAGGTGTGTAACAAGCACAGCAATAGTTCACACTTACAGAGTGCATTTACAGCTCTTACAGCACCTGAGAGTTCAAAGGTCAGAGTCTACTTACCCCTTCTGTCGGAAATAGTTTTACCTTTTGTTACCAGCAACACCTACGGTTACTGTAACTGAGATGTGAGAGAGATTCTCTGGTTTTGTGCATTTGGCCATTTATGGAGGAGTTAATTTCACTGTTTACAAGTTTGAGAGCCACCACAAAGGTATGAATAAAGACATTACCTGGCTAGCACACTGCCTTCCACATCCTAATGACTTAACCAACTAAACAATGGGTACTTAAGAATAATTTGCACCTTCTCTATCAGAGTGTTCATGTTATAAGAAGCTAATTCACTATTTTTTCCCTTCCTTCCTCCCCCCATCCCCTATTTATTTTGGAACTGGACTTTTAATACTCCATTCATCTGAAGAAGTGGGTTGTACCCACAAAAGCTCATAACACCATCTACATGTTTTGTTACTCTTTAAGATGCTGCCAGACTATTCATTGTTTTTTGTTTCTCCACTGTCAGCTTCCCCTATCAGAAAGTCTTTCATACTTCAAAAGAAGGGGAGATCTTATAAAAACATAGTGAGGAGGGAAAAGTCTGGCAGGAGGAACTCAGAACCTGGAACTACTTGCAAACCAATTTTTAAAGAGATTAATTTCACATGGAGGCTTCCATTTAAACGGTCACATGATCCCAGTGCGTTCCATTTCACAGACAGCACAAAGAAAGGCATTAAGTGACCTGTCCACAATCACAACCTGCCAATTGCACACTGGAGGAGACAAACCCATGCTTCTCAGTCCCAGGAGTTACTTACTAACCCCAACCCTCTCCCTTAACACTTTGGACAGCAGCCACTTGCTCCCCAAGAGAACACTAGCTAGAGACCGGTAAGCAAAATGCTGCTCAGACCATCAAATTGCTAGTAAACAGGCAGCAAAGACGGGAATTTATCCTTACTTGACTTCTAGCAACACACCACTGAGGTTTTGCTTGCTCAGGGGATTTCTGAAAACTAAGACAAATGCATTTTAGGCTTGAGAAAATAATCCAGAGGGGGAAAGCAATGGAGGAAAATAACCATATAAACCCTTAGATAAAAGCAGCTATCATGGATTAACGCAGAAAGGCTTTGTAGCTCCTGAATTTAGCAATGGATTCTGGCCTCAAGCATCAGAGCAACACAAAGTGCTAGTTTCAGCCTTGGACAGACGGGCTGGGGGATGACAGAGTAAATCATGAGGGAGCCTTGGAAGGGCAGCATGAATGAGGTGGAGGGGCATCTGCAGGGCTTCCATCGGCAGCTGCTTTGCAGTTTTGTAGGAGCGAGGTCACTGAGCACAACTTAAATGAAAAAGATGAATGTACAAGCCAGGCTGGCAGCTAATGTAATCATCTGCTAACATATTGACCCTCTGCAGCAGGGTGCATCCAAGCATTGTTTCCCATTAAAAACAGGCTGCTGGCCCCCATCAGGAGGATGTGCCTGATGAGCCTTGTCGGATAGCAGCCCAAGGTTGGGCTTATCTGCCTCTGCCGTGGCGGATCTGGCCCACGTCCACGAGAAGACATCCTGCTGCTTTATGGCTGCATGCAGCCCCCTGGACCAGTCCCAAGTCCCTGTCAGACAGAGAAAGGGAATGAAGAGCTGATGAAGCGGGAGAAAGAGACACGAGGGTCACGTTACCTCAGCGATCAGAACAACAATCACAGTGTCCTCCTTTTCCTGTTGAGTGAGCTCGGAGATCAGGGAATTCAGGGTGTCCGCAAGGTACGAATGCACCTCCCGCTTCACGCTGGGGATTCCCATCACTATGGAGACTGCCCAGAACCAAAACAAAGTGTTTTCAGAAAGGTGAATACAGGGCAATGGGCCAGGACAACTTACAAGACTGTTCCCTCGGCTCCTGAGGTCTTGCCTTCTACTTGCTTTTTGCACTAAGTTCCATCAACAGTAGCTTCCCAGGCCTAATTCACTGAACACGCCCTCTCAGCAGGTTAACTTTTTTCTGATGAACACTTTGGCCAGGAAACAGAAAAGAACTGGGTGCTGGCAGGAAGGGCCTCCCTTTGAAGAATTCAGTTTGGCTATTACAGCTTTAAGGCCGATATTTAGGGAATGCTCTTCAGAAAGGCCTTTCGACCCTACATTGGCATTCATGTCTGAGAGTCCTTCTGCCCAAAACAGGCTCCCCAACCAACCAAACCCTTTACAAAGCAATGTAAAAAAAAAAAAAAAAAAAAGTTTGTTAAAAAAAAAAAAAACCAACAACCACCCTGTCTCAAGCAGAATTTTTATCCCCCAAAAAAGGCAAAGTGCAGGAACTCCACGAAGTCCACTACAGGCTTTAACATGCCATTGGCTTTACATGGGAGGGGCTCAAATACTATGTTGATGGATGGCAGTAAAACCCTCAGACAGACAAAGGTAAAATATTACTTTAGGGCTGGTTAAGGTCCCTGCACCTCTTAATTTATAAGGTCACAGTCTGCGCACCCCGCCACAGCACTGAGGAAGCCTGCATGTAAGGTACTCCCTCCCTTCCAGTCCTGCTCCTCTCCGCACGCCAGCCAGGAACGGAGGGGAGGAGAGGGCGAGGTGGGAGAGGGCGAGGTATAAAGTGAAGGGAAGAGACCTAGCAGCAGCACTGAGATTTACCTCCAGTGCGTCCCTGTCCCACATGCACAGCTGGTTGTAGACTGTTCTCCTTGGACAGCAAGTGTGGCAAATGATGGAAGATGGTGGGAAGATGCAGCACATTCTTGTTGGTGATATTCCACAGTTTTAATCTGGTTTCATCTTAAGGAAGAAAAGGAAGTCAATATGCAGGACACCAAACAGAGAGACTTTTGGTGACAAAACCCCCTCCCAGAGCAATCTGGCTACCTTTGGTTATCACTAGATTAATATGCTCAGTTTTCTCCATGGGCACCCACAACTCCCACTAATGTTCGTGGGAGCTGTGTGTGAAGGGGCATAATTAGGTCCCACATCTCTGAGGGGGAAGAGAATGAAGATCAATCCAATCATCTCAAAAAGAGCCAATTTTCCCATCCAATCAACTTTTGCACTTTTGAACAGAAGAGAGTTTCACTGAGCAAATCTAAACCCTCCACTGTGACCTGTTTTCCACAAACATTCAGTACTGAGCACACATTGTCCTGGAACGGCATAAACAACCGGTGATAAAAGCTCATGAGCAAGCAAGATAGTATATATTATCTGCAGGGACGTGAGTCAACGATCAAAGGCACATGGCCATCTCCATTTAGATAGATTTGCTAAACCTTCTAAGCCTCTCATGTTAAATCAGCGTATCTGGAGTTTGACCTATGATTGCTCTGGCAACGGCAGGACCACTCTTTCTATCTGCAGCCCTACACAAACACACACCTCACTCCCTCCTCTATAGCAACAGCGTCTCCCTGTTAAAGTCTGATTCACCAGATAAGCTGCTCCATGTCCGGTTTACGTCCCGTAGGGCCTGCTTCTCCGAGATCGCTCTCTTTATCTCGTCCAGGACCAGGTTCAACTCCTTGGAGCGCTTTAGACTCTCCTGTTCGGCAGCGTGCAGACGGTCTCTGAGCGCCAGGAACTCTCGCTGATAGATATCCACCACCTCACCTGCAGAGAGGGAAGAGGGGAAACACATTTTGTCCATGCTGTGACTGGCTGGAAAAAGGAAA